GTGCCGGGGCACCGGATCTTTGGGGTGAACCAGCCTTTGCCGTAATGTGTTTTGGGGTTTGAAAGCCACTGGGACATCATGTTTAGAAAATAAACGTCTCTGTTTCTCCGAAACACCCGCAACATACGGAATAACCACTGGTTTGGGTCTGGGTTTGGGTGTTTTTGATGTTTTTCTGTTCTGGGCTCAGAGCAAAAAGCAACTAATACATCATTTCTGTTCCAACAGGACAGTTTTATTTTTAAAAAAGTGCAGCTAGACACAACTGCTGTGTTAGCAGTGAAACAAACTATGCAAAAACTGTTTAATAGCTTTAAAAAATGCATTCATTTGTTAAAACAAGAAAAATTTATAAAAAATACAACAATTTCTAAATGAAATGAAAGAAAGCAGAGGAAAGAAAAACATAGATTAACTTTGATACAAAAAAAGATGTTCCATCGTTTCAACAACAGTTTGTTGATACGTACTACTTAGTATCTTTTTTTCTTCAATAAACTAACCTTTAGTCTCTTTTTAAACAAATTGTTCTGGAAGTTTTAATTTCATCAAGATTATTCCGTAAACTTATTTATTGAATTACAGTATAGCGTTCTTTTAGGCTAATTTGATACGGAGGTGTTTTTTGTTTGCTTTATTATTATTTCTTATTTAATACATTGCCCACAAAGCATTTTCTGATCCTCTAAATCAGAGGTTTTCAAACTGGGGTCCACGAGCTGCATCTTGGGGGTCCTCAAAAATTTCAATAAATTGTTTACTTGGTTTTTATTTTTTAAAAAGCACGTGGGGAACAAACAAACAAACATACTAAACCAAACAAAAACTAATATTCCCATGCCATTTAGGGCTTAAAATGAAAGTAAATTACTTTTAAAACAACCTGGGGTTTATGAGGGGGTCCCTGGCAATTTTTCATCCTTGCAAGGGGTCCCCAGAACCAAAAGGTTTGAGAACCCTTTCTCTAAATACTGAAAAATTATATAAATATATATACTGTATAAACAAAAACATCTGAAAAAAGTTATTTTAAATAAGTTAAACCTAAATCAAACGACTAATTCTCTCATTGCAGTTCTCAAACATTTCCTCCACTCACTGAGGGGCTCTGGTTTGATGTGGTGTCTCGGGTCCATTCTGTTTATCAAACTGGTGCTGATAAAACGTTTGAATGCAAACATTTGATCCGACCATTTATTGCAGCTTACAGTTTTCTGCCATGTGCCTGTTGAACAGCTTTGTCAGCTTGATGACAAACTGGTCAATGGTCACAGAAATAAATTGAATTTGACAAAAGTAATAATAAATAAAAATTCTGTAAAAATGAATAAATCAAAGTCAGACATTGATTTTCAGCCATGCGTCAACAGAATTAAAAAATAAATAAAACTCATGAAACAGGCCTGGACAGAAATGAAGGTATCCTTAGTATTTTGTTGTGGACCTATATACAAGACCGTAGACACCTGTGATGATAATTAGTGGACACACATTGATTTAACATGTCCCTTTGGTCACATTGTTTTCAGGGGTACCATCATTTTTGTCCAGGCCTGTTTCATGGGTTTGGTTTTTTTTTTTTCTTTAATTCTGTTGACGCCTGGCTGAAAAGAAACATCTGACTTTTATTTGTTCATTTTCATAGAAATTCTATTTATTATGACTTTTATCAGATTCAAGTTATTTCTGTGACCATTGTGGGTTTTTCTTTTGTTAGAGGAGTACCAACAATTGTGTCCACGTGTGTCTGACATCAAGGATTTCTATAAAGCCAAATCCACTGCTCAAAAAAATAAAGGGAACACTTAAGGCACGCTAACTCCTGATCTTAATCAATGAAATATTCGCATTGAGTACTTTGTTCTGTACAGAGTTGAATGTGCTTCACAAAAGTTTGATTTACTTGGACTTAGCGTGCGTTGTTTAAGTGTTCCCTTTATTTTTTTGAACAGTGTATATTTATTGGGTAACAGATCTGGACAGGTGTGTTTAATGAGGATTCTTCAGAACCAGGCCACATGTTCGCTAATAAAAGAGCTAATAACGTCTTTAATTCCACTTCCATCTGTGAAAACAGATAAAAGATGTTTGTTTTTGTGTTAAACTTTCAGACTGTTTTTGCTCACAAACTGAATTTAAACTTTAAGCCATTTAAGCGATCCCAAACTGACGTTTACAGCCAACCTTTCAATAAACTGTCTGGTAACACACACGTCTTCTGTTCTGATTGGATAAAATCTGTTTAAATCTGGGCTCTGAGTCGGGCTGGCTCACCTTTCTTTTCATTTCAAAGCAGTAAATCTTTTTCATGTCCAATTATTTCAGACACAACAGCTGGGAGCCTCAAGAAAACATCCTCGATCCAAGACTGTTGGCTGCGTTCAACAAGAAGTACGTGAGCTCTTCCAGGGGCCTCCATCCTTTAGATTAAACTCAATATAGCTGGAGTTTGTTTAATGTTTAAGAAAAGTTTAGTAATTAAAGTTATTTTATGTTTGTGTTTTCATCAGAGAGCAAGAAAAGGAGCTTCTGATGCTTAAAAAAGGCAAACGGCCCAGAGGACGACCACGAAAGATCTTAGTAAGTCCAAATCAGCAGAACTTTATTCACCATCTCCTATTCACGTCAGTAAAAAGTAGTATACTTAAAGTTCATTTTAATAGGAATACTCAAGTATAAGTTTAAGTATATCAAGTATACTAGGCACCATGTACCTGTAGTGTACTAGAAAGTATACTAATTTAATACTTGTTCGTACAAAATTGGGACTATTTAGTTTATAAAAAGTATACTGTTATGTGTTTTCAAGTTTATAAACTTACAAAAAGAAGTATACTTTAAGTACATTTCATTAAGTAAAAGTATATTTCCCAAAGTGTACTTTTATTTACCATGTACACTGATATAAACTAGCAGTTTACTAACAAGTATACTTCTAGGACTAAATTGGTCCACAATAAGTTTATGAAAGTATACTCAGAAGTATACTGAAAGTACTCTTCTAAGTATACTTTTAGTTTAATCTTGAAATATACTACAAATAAACCAGTCTGTGTGAAAATGTACTTTCAGTGTACTACTAAAGTTTATGTTGGCCAAAAGTTGAAACATTAGTGTAAACTGAGTATATTTAGTATATTTTAGTGCAAACCATGTCGTGTACTTGGTTAAGTACATCTCAGATGAGTACATACAAAGTAAACTGGAAGTATACTCTTATTTATTTAGTTTAAATTAGTAAACTTAAAGGATACTTGCATGTACTACATTTTGCTAAGGGAGACCTTTTATTGTTTTTGTTCTTCACGTTTTAGGAGAACGCACCAGAGCCTGCGAAGTCGAGCAGCTCTTCGTCTGCTTCCTCCTCCTCGTCCTGCGATTCCTCATCCTCCTGCTCTTCCTCCTCTTCTTCCTCAGACGAGGATGACGATGACTCCGTTAAGCAAACGAGCCCGGTGGTGAGAACAAGGGAGCTCCATGCCGTCCCCCACCCCCAGAAGAAGGCGCAGATTGTGATGAAGCAGGAGACCCAAAAGAAACGAAGCAAGAAACCCCCCGAAGCCAAGGACTTCCTGCAGAACAAGAGTCCTCGCAAGATCCTGAAGACCACCAAGGATGCGGATCTTCCAGGGGCCATCAAGAAGCCCGTCCACCCGTCCAGCTTTGCCTTCATGGGCTTTCATCGCAACTCGTCCGGCAGAGATGTGGCGGGCGGTCCGTACAGGAGCCCCCTGAGCCCGGGGGGGCCGGTGAAAATGAGCTCCGTTGGACCTGGTCGGTCCTCGGTCCAAACCTCGTCCCACCAGAGCAGAAGCGAGGGTAAACTGTCCGTCTCCAGTCTGAACAGTCTGGATTTGAAGACGGCAGCTTGTAAATCCAAAGGAGTCGCAGCTTTGAATCTGAACACRTCCAAACATCCCGTTCAGGGAACCCCTCAGCACACGCTGAGCCCACCCAGTGGACAGAAGACCCCCGTGTCCACAGTGCAGCGGGTTTCTGGGAATAAAACCATCACATCCTTGTCTTCCAAAAACTCTTCTTTTAGTCAGGGTTCCAGTCCTCAGCCCCTCAACCTCCAGAGCAAAACGTCTCAGTTCACTGGTGCTCATGGGTTTGGTCCTACCCCCGCCTCGGGTCTGAGGAGTCCAGCAAACTCKGCGAGGAAGACCGCCGTCACGCAAAACCAGGAGTCCAATCCTCCTAAAAGTCCAGTAACACCTGGAAGACCGCCGGCCAGGAAAACCCAGGCCGGCGGAGACAAAGAGGCGAACGAAATCCAGACCAGCAAAGTCCAAGGAAGGGCGGAGAAGTCCTGCTCGGAGACCCAGAACCAGCAGGAGAGGATCCCCACGAAGGGCAGCAAGAAAGCCAAAATCACAGAAATGAGCACGGGCGAGGAGGAGAGTAGTTCCGACTCGGACCCCGACTCCTCCTGCGCCGGACGGGGTCGCTCGGTCGTGAGCCAGAACCAGGACTGGAAGCCCACCCGCAGCCTGATCGAACACGTGTTTGTAACCGACGTCACCGCGAACCTGGTCACCGTCACGGTCAAGGAGTCTCCGACCAGCGTGGGCTTCTTCAGCATCCGCAACTACTGACTCTTTACCCGGTCCAGACAAACCAGAACCACCTGAGGTCTCAGAGAACTGGAGAGCGGTAGGGCTGGAGGAACACGAGGGACCAAACTACAGGGTTAAGAGTTAGTGCTTTATTTTATTCTAGTAACAAGAAAAATAGAAATAAAAATAGAGTCAGTAACTGATTGTAACTATTTATTCGCTCATTTTGGACTCTGGTACAGATCAGTGAGTCGTTACTTTTCTTACYGAGATCATGTAGGAGAGAAATAACTAACATAAAACCAGGGTTTTACAGACTTTATTCATCCAGAATATCTGTTGGATGATGACGGGACAATCTGCCTTTTCACCATAGACCTTTTCTTTATTTCTCAAGCCCTTTTGGCACAGGATAAGCATTACCTGGGGACCCCATGTAACAAATAAATTACTCCCCCACATGGGATAACTGAAGCCGCAGATTTTACCGACATTTACGGACATCTCCCGGGTGAAGCCTGGTTAGTTGACATGTTGAAGACGGCGAGGCTGCGCGCGCGGTGCACCATTCAGTTTGTTCATCAAGCTTTCGCGCTCCTATTCACAACATTTCATAAGTTATAAAGTGTCCTTCCACGTCTTTTTGTAGAATAATACAACAGTAGTTGTGTTTCCATTGCAAATAATAATAATAAACTTTATTTATATAGCACCTTCCAACAATGACTTGCATCAACCAAAGTGGTTCACAAGGTAAAACAAAAACAATCAAGCCATAAAAAATCAGTACAAGTTAAAAACAATTTACAATAAAAGAAAGTAAAAAAGATATAAAGATGCTAAAAATTAAACACCAAATGCCCCTTTTAATAAGTAGGTCTTAAGTTGGGCTTGTTGTGCGAAAAACTTTGTCGATACTTTTTTAATGTCGAAAAACACAGTTTCGCAATTGCAGTGTAAGTGTAAGTAAGAAATGCTATTAAAGTCACGTGAATACGTTTGTTCTCATGATAAGTCATTATAAACATGGCGGCGATGGATGTAAACACATAGCATGTTGCTACCACGACACTAGCGCTCATCATCAGAGGAGACGTCGGCGTCTTTTATCGAGGCTTTCCAGAGACAAGTCCCTACTTGGGAGCGGCTACGTATGCTGTGTTTTTGGGAAATTGTAGTCGGTGAGTTTACTATTTTATACTACTTCTGTGATATTACTACTACTTCTACTTCCTGTTATCATCTTCGTCGTCTTTTTCACCAGTAGAAACAGCCGGTTGTTGATCACGTGACTCCTGTGATGTGAAAAAAGTGTTTCCATTGCCGTTTTGCGAAAAACACCAATTTCGATACGGCYGAAAAACCATCTCATCCTAGCGCAAAAACGTTTTGTTGAAAAAAGGAAGGTTTTTTTTCAAAATTGACGTGTTTCCATTGCGCAAATTAGAATTTCRAAAATAAATTTGCTCATTTTCATGGTCAGTGGAAACGCAGCTAATGTAGGTGCCATTGCACATCTGGTAAAGCCTGGAGCATACTCGTTCCAGAGCCGAACAGTCGATGCGCGGTCACKTGGTCGTTCGGCGTTTGTTTTCGCACACACCTTTCATAGCTCCTGAGACGCTATGAAAGCAGGTATATAGCAGGTAATTTGTGGGGGTATTTTTATTTTACAAATTACCGACATGTCCGATTCACACGGGATTAACAACACAGATAATCTGCAGTTATTACAGACAGCATGTGGTCCCCAGGTAAAACTAATCCCATCAGAAYAGGGTTTMAGATGAACTCCAGTGGAACAAACATGAGCTGTGATCAATGAAAACTTAGAATTCACTGAAACTGCAACAAAATTTACAAWTTTYAATTCAATTTTAGGTCACTTTGTTCTGTTTTTATCCCTTTAATGGTTATACAGCTCAATGAGGGATTTTCTCTGAAGAGCAATACTAAAACCGTAATCTGTCAGTAATCTGTTTTAGCGTTTCATGGATTAGCTACCTCTGGTTTTCATGTRCTACACGGGCATTTTCATTTCTTTAACGTTAACACCGCCTGAATCTGTTGGACGTTGTGTTTTCAGACAGAGGAGCAGATAGTTTCCCTCTGCTGCTCTGAGCTCATCATCATCATCATCATCATCATCATCATGGCCTCAGAAAACCTCTCTAGACTTTATCTGAGCAGGTGTACCTGCGCAGGTATCTGCAGCCCCCCTCTGACGCTCAGATAAGACTCAGGCTGATAATATGAGCTAATAAGACTTGTTTTGATTAATTGATGGTCGTTACACCTGATGACGCCTCCACAGCTGCAGGAGCAGCGTTCTGTGTGGCGTTACATTTGTGCCAGCAGCTTGAGGGTGCAGTAACACTGATTTGAGAGCAAATATCAAYATGAACTAGAAGCACTCTGAGAGCGCAAACCTTCGCCAAGACCGATTCGTCCCGACGTTATTCATGGTCAAACTGGTGTGGGATTAAGCTCCTAAGTTTTCATCAGTCACATTTCACCATGTAAAACGTCTGTTTTATCTCCTTGTATGAGTTTGTAATGGTTTGACTCTCTTTATAAAGTGCTTCCTGGTACCGTCGGCTCATGAAGCGAGTGGGTCAGCGCGACCGAAAACATTACGTCGCCCCTGAAAATGAACAAACGGAAAAACAACCTCCGAGTCTGAAGTCCACCGCACCTGTGCRCATCACTCTTCCTCGTTCTTCATCGATCTGTTTACAAGCCTACGACAGTGTGGTGTGTTTGAGGAAATGGGAAAAATGGGTTTCATGGTGCAGTCACGCACTTCCTGGTCACAAGACGTTCTCTAAATGTGCACCAAATGCGTGAAAATGTGCACATTATTGCAAGAATTATTCATCATTACATCTGGTTTTAACATTACTTTTATAAAGTTTGAAGTCCGTGCTGTGTAATCCAGTTCAAATGACCACTGAATGCTGTCACTGTTTTTTACAGAAGCCCTGTGAAAGCATCACAGCTTTGCCGATCTCAGAGGATTAATAAAAAAAATTCCTGTAGCTGCATCGTGATCCGGAACATCACCAAAATTTAAAGGTGTGTTCCTTGGCCCAGTCCCCACGCGTTGTAAATCCACAACTTTTTGATTAATGTTGTCCACAGACAGAACGACATACGCGACCGAAAACATTACCTCCTTGGTGGAGGTAACAAACAATTTGTGTGCGTTCAAATCACACACACGCTCACTTAGACCCATTAAATCAGCAAAAGCTAAAAATAAGATATATTTTGTAGCCCAGAATATTTACTTAGGAATACAAATATGCTTACTGTCATTGTGTATTGTAGGCAGTGCATCTAACATTAAATTCAACTTAACTTTTTTAATTAATATATTATAGGCAATGATTCTTAATTACATTTAGATAAATTACTGTTGGTTTTGATATTTGTAGATAATCTAATGTATTAGTCCCTCTTCATGCTGATGTTCTGTTGTATCAGGAGTGCTTAATTTGAATATCTACAAATATCAAAACCAACAAGTAATGAACCATAATGTATTTAAAAAAAAATTCTAAAATACACAATGACAGTGACAACATGTTTATGTTTAACTAAATATTGTTGGGCTACAAAATTTAAATATATTATCTTTTGGTGATTTAATACATCTTAAGATTTTGTCACTTCTGCCTCTTGGTTTAGTATATTTGCAATAAGTGCTTTGATTAGAAGAAGAAAACCCAAATTATTGTTTTTTCATATTTATCTGCTCTCAGATCAGTGTTATTGCTCACTCAAGCTGTTGGCACAAATGTAACGCCGTAGCTCTGGACCACAGATCAGAATCGATCATGCTTGTGAATCAATTTTAGTTTCTAGCGTTTCCATAATTCAACTTTTTATCCTCGTCTTTCAGTCGCTTGTTCGTATCGTACTCTGTGCACACGCAGGTCCAGGAGCTGCAGGGGAGAAACTGAAAATGTTTTTATCTGATGGAAAAAGAAACCACAACAATGTGCGCTACTTTCTGCTCCCCTGAGACGAGTTCAGCAACAAAGCTGCTCTGCAGACCGTGCCTTTCTTCCCTTTTTAAAGACTTTACCCCAACGAGGGCTGGGATTTCAACCCCGGGAGCCTCTACCTGTTTCAGTTTCTGACAGGAAGTGTGGGAACAGTCCTGCTGGGAGACGGACCACAAATATATGGAGCAAACAGGAAGTGGGTTACTGATGGAAACTGTTAAAGTGGTTTCGGTCCATTTTGTCGAAAATGTTTCTATTAGAGCCAACTCGTGTTTTATGATGCAACTTAAAGAAAACCTGGAGTCATTTCCACAGAATGTGAGGGTTAGTGGGTAAAAGTTTATTTTCTCTTGTTTTTTTTTTTACTCTTCTGAACATGAACTTGTTTCTGTTTGAGGTCTTTTGTAGATCTACTAACCGTGTCAATACGTTTGTTTTTCTTTTCAACCTATTTATTACAAATTAAACTATCTTTAGAGGGTTGTTAAACTGTTGTTTTGTGTGCCACTTTTTATATTTACTAATAAATGCAACAAATTCGACCTGTCTGACTGTTTTTATGGGAGACGTTGATAAACTGGCACTAAACTAAGAAATAAAATCAGTGTTCCTAAAGTTCAATCTAAGACTTTTTAATATTTTTAATGCCACTTGAAATGAACTTTAAGACCAACTTCACAATAAAAACAGCAACAGTTTTACCTAAATGGTTATTTTAGCAAAAAACAACTAACGGCAGTAAATAAATAAAAAATCTTAAGAATCATTTTAATATTTGAGACAAATACAATCATCCTTCTTACAACTTAACATTTTTAAGACCTGTGAAAGATCGATTTAAGACGTTTTAAAGCTAACTAAGGCCTTGTTTTTTGGATTGATGAATTCAGTGTCTTTTAAGACTTTTTAAGGATCTACAGGAACCCTGGAAATAAAATACTGTAGTTGTATTTTAGGTCTGTATGTTGACTGAACAGGGAAACAGGAAGTGAGGTGAAGAAAAGATTTGTGGCAGAAAAGGTGAAAGAAAAACTCATTTACATACGAGCTGTTGTTGGTTTGGAGACACAACAGGAAGTGTCGGTCGACAAGACAAGGATGGAGAAGATTAGGAATGAGATCATCAGAGGTGCACGAATAAACAATATTTATATCAGGGCCATTCAACTGGCGGCCTGTGGGCCAGATGTGGCCCGCCAATTGGTTCATTCATCTCTTAAGTCCAAACCCCCGGTTTTCTACTTTAACATGTTTGGTGTCTGCAGAAACATCAGAATCCTGGCTGCAAGCTGGTAAAAAACATTTCTTCAGTTAAAATTACAAGCAGTTAAAAATAAAACTATGAAAGTGAAAATAAAATTGGTTTAAAAATTTGTCAAGTCAAACATGTCAAAATAATATTTGTGTTAAATAAGAGACATACTAGGTAATTTTTGTTATTTTATTATAACTACTTTTATAGGGTTCTGTATGTTGTAATCATGATTAAATGCAGCAAAATAAACTATTAAGGTAACAGATCTTTGTAATACTTGGTTTATTTAATAATAAATTTAATTGCTGGATGTTCGGCTCCTCAGATGTTGACCTGCAGTAACTGTGGCCCCTGGAACAGTTCAGTTGAATAGCCCTGTTTTATATTATCCTACAATAATTAACAAATTTAACGATTGTTTCTGCTCACAGGAACRACTAGAAGGCATCTGATCTCCAGAGCAGCAGTCCTGTTAGCTTTGGCTCCAAAACTACATTTAAAATGTTTAATTTTACACGAAGAAACCTGTTTTTAGGTCCTCATAAAACCTTCGGAACGTGCCGTAAAAGAGCCACAAGATGGAGCTGCTGCACCGGATCAGGTCCAGGATGGGTTCTGGTTCTCTGCAGTCAACATGAAACCTCATCAGACACCACTAAATCTTTAAATCCTTACATTACTGACAACTACTAGAATTAATAATAAAAGTATTTATATAAAAACATCTAACAGGAACAAGATTTTAATTTATTATTTGATTGTTTCAGTTTTCAACAGTCACCACTTGTTGCAGGGAAAACATCTGATCTGATGATCTGTGTGTCACTAAACGTCTCCAACAAACCAATAATTAACTTTAAAAAGGTCTGAATCTGAGTCAAACTCTGAATAATTCAGCAACAAGTCTTTTAGAATCAAACTCTGAATGAAAAGTAGATTTAAAATCAGATTTTAATCAGTTGTTTCTCTGCTGCAAATTTAATCTTCTTTTCTGGCAGCTCTGATCAAATCCTCCTTCCATAATTAAAATACCTGCAGGACAAAAACCGTTAAAAAAACAGCTTTTTAAACTGTTTTAATACTTGACTGGGTTCACTTTTAAAACATTTTCAGTTCTGCTTAGAATCCTTTTTAAAAATTCAAACATACAGTTTACATAAAACTGAGCAGAAGCGTAAATTAAAGAACAATACGGTAAAAAAACATGATATAAAATAAAAAGGACATTATCTTTAGAGGACTTTCATTTATTTTCTTATACTGTCAGTTTATTGATGCAATGATTGAGCTTCACTGTTGCAGTGAATCAGCACTTTCCTCAATAAAACTACTTTATGTAAAAAACCGTTGAATAAAAGGGAAGGTTTAAAAACTGCATTTATGAATAAAAATGTAGCTGAAAGGATCAGATTGTTTTTAACGTGGTTTGCTTCTTTATCTTGATTTTATCAGAACTTAGAGGTGAAAYATTTCTTACCCAGGATCCAGACTTAACATTTATATAAACAAACATTTCTAACGTTACAAAGAAAAAAGACGTTCTGCAGTTTCAACATCTGAGTCACAGAACAGGAGCTGCAGCTTATTTTCAATTTCTGTTGTAAAAAGTCGTCGCAAGAATAAATTAGTTTGAAATGATCTTTTACTTTTTGTTGGAGTGGAAAAGAAAGAAATTTGGTGCTAATTTTACTTAGAGATATAGTTTTTTTTTATATTTCCTTCTCGGGGGTTGATGGGAAAAAAGTTAGAAGTCAGAGTATTTCTTATCACATTTTTAATCTATAAAGTCACATTTATTAACAATCAAAGATGGTTCTTTTAGAGTTATTGCTAAGTATGTAATTATACCTTTAATTTGTAAAATCCTTACAAGAGGAAGTGCCTTTAATACTCTGTTAAATTGAGTTTTAGTACATGAAACATGTATTTTTCATTAAAAGCTTCATATTAAAWAGTTACCACCTTTTTCCATGAGGTGTAAAATCAAACAAATATATTTCTCCCAGCAATCTTTTAAAAAAAATGATTTTCGTTTTTATCAGGATACATCTGCTGTGTTTAAAACAGATGTTTTTATAACRGAGAGGAGCAGAAAACAAACGGACCAACGCCCTCTGGTGGCCGGCTGCAAGATAACTGTTAAAGTCAACTCAAAGTAAAAATAATAATAAACGATACTAAAGTTAGCCACAAAGCAGATGCTTTTATAAACTGTTTTAAATGGAGCATTTGTTTCAAATTAAAATATTAAACATTATCTGGATTTAACCAGAGGGGAAGAAAAAAACCCACCAAGACCTCTTTAACAAGGCCGACCTGGTCAAAAGGTCAGTGGCTCTCCTCATAAAAGCACCAAAAACAAGCAATAAAAGATAAAACACAAACATTTTTCATGTCAAAGTGCAGCGATGTTGGGATTTTAACAGATTGGGAGTTAAAAACACAAATAAATCTTAAAGCATTGTCACTGCTGCGTTCAGAAGTCCTGCAGCACCTTTCAATACGCAGACG